TGAGCTGAAAAGATATTAACAAACCACGTTTCTGCTAGAATCCTTACGACTTAGTCTGTACATTTGATAATAATATAGCACCGCTACAGACCATGGAGGTAACAATGAATGAGCATAAGACCAAAACCAAGTCAGAAATTACTGTGTTTAAAATGGAGCCGGACGCCGATTTGTAAGATCATTTTAAATGGAATCATATGACAAGTAAAACATTTCAAGTTCTTGTGTCATTCAATGCAAAAACATGCGAAGACTACAAAATAATTAGCCTAATGAGCCACTTACTTAAAACGTTTTTAAAAGTGAAACATAACAGAATATGTCAAAAATGTGAAGAAAGATGAAAGAGCTTCTGGCTTTTTCAATATGAGTTTTTATTTGGTGGCTGTGATCCCAAGTATCTTTAATAATATTGCACCCCAAATTGCATATTTTTTCCACTCTTTCTAACGGTATATCGCCAATTGTAATTTGGGCGTTTATGCCGGTGTTCTTACTAATGATCATTAGTTTTGTCTCCTTGCAATTTAGTTTTATGCCGTATTTGTTTCTACAATGTTATACATCATCCTTTGGAGCCCCTCCGCACTATCTGCCAGCAACACTGTATCGTTTGCATATCTAATGTTCTTCACATTTCTTAGCGTTGGCTTTTTTGGTAAGTGGAATGAATATTGATAGTAGCCAGTCTTTTGGTAAGTAACCAGTCTCATAGATGTTGTTGAAAGGTTCGTAAGAGCTGTGATTTGGTGTGACTCTAATAGCTTTAAAATTTCACCATGCACCTCATCAGGTCCTGGTAATTTCCCATCTTTAATCCGCTTAATGGCCATAATTACTTATTTGTTTGTTATTTCTGAGAGGTTATCTCAGAATTTGTTATTATTAACCTTAGAGGTTGTTTATTTCAGTTGGACTTTGTGCTGCATCTTCGAATAATTCTTGCATATATTCTTTCCATCTTCGTAATTTATCTTCAATGGTAGTCAAAATGTGGCCTTAAATGTCTACAACTATGCCTATATTGCGTTGTTTTCTGATATTCTGTACCTTTTTAATTTTTTTGTGCATATGGAAATCGTCATGTTTGCGTTCTAGTGTTTCAACTTCCATACATTTTTCCGTCAGCCATGCTTCATTTGCTCCTTTATTTCCTTTAGTATTGTCTTATGCAACTTTTTGTATTCGTTATCATTTCTACCTTTTAATTTTCTTCGCTCTTTCATCATCTGCAATATTTTATCCATTCTTACTTCTTTTCTCTTTTTGATTTTAGATATTCATGCGAAATTGTGGTAATATATGTCTTCATTTCGTTCCACTGTTCGTGTATGCCTCTAGTAGTGTCTTTAACTATTTTAGCAAAATTCTTATTAATTTGTTTTTACTTTTTTCTGTTGACGTCATACTTTTGACAAATGTCAATAAAAAAGAAATAAATTCGATCTGCAGATAGGAAACTTGTTCAACCTGTTAGCAGAATCTAAAGACTACCAAATTATTCGGAATAGTCTACACTGTTTTCCATACTGTACTTAGAATCTGTAGGTCTTCTTCCAAATCATCAATCTATCTCCTTCGTGGTCGTCTTCTGCTTCTTGTACCCTCTGGTTTTGAAAATGTTAATCTCTTCGTGTATTCATGATCTGACATCCTAGCAATGTCTCCAGCTTATCTAAGTCTCTGCGCTTAGAAAGAAATTCATTCGTTTTAACGAATTTCACAATATCTGGATGGATGTATAATTGATTTAGTTCAAAGTTGTATCTTCGACGCCATAGCCCATTTTCATTTAAGGCCCCAAAAATCTTTTATTTTTCATAAAAAAGGAACTGGCACTGATATGGTAGGAAATTATATACATATATTCACTGGAGTCCCGAAAGACTTATACACTTATGTGAGAGCTATGAGTTAAAAATTAGCAATGGATTCTACAAACATAAGGACATACATAGATATACCTGGATTCAACAAACACGCAATCTAAAATCAGTTATCGATTATATTATTAGTAAACAAAAATCTGTATTGTAGTGGAATGATGTAGAGTTCTCCGAGGAATAACATGTGGATCCGATCACTACTTAGTAAAAGCTAAAATTTTGTTCCCACTTAAGATAATACACGGAGACCAAAACCTAGAAGACAAGCAAGACTTGCAGACAGTGGACACTCCGAAGTACAACTTCAATAGTTTTATAAATGATAGTACTAAACAGCTATACCAACGACGACTGGATGAAAAACTACGAGAAATAGAGAGACAAACATTTTCAGATGTTTACGAGAATATTATTGCTAGTTTACACCAGGCCTCTAAGTTGACACTCGGGACACAGCAAAACAAAATTATTAACAAAATGTGGTGGAACGAAGAAATCGAATATATGGTAAAACAGAAAAAGAACAGCATCTAAAATGGCTAAATACAACAAATACTGAAGACCATCAAGCTTACAAAGAAACCGATAGACAACTACGCAAAATGATAAAACAAGAAAAGAATAAAACATGGGATTAGAAATGTCAAGAAATCAATACATACATCGGAGGGAAGCAATGGACAGAGGTATGGAATTTTATACAATCAGTAAAAAATACAGACAGACAAGACAAAAAGACAAAGCACACATACACACCATAAAACCAAGACAATGGAAAGATCACTATGAAAGCTTGCTGACAGAGACAAGACAAGAATACCTAGCGAACTCCCCAACACAGCCAGTACATATACAAGGAAAGGAAGCGAGGGTAGACATCGAAACAGTAAGGAAGTCTGTAATGACCCTAAAGAATGGTAAATCCGCTGGACCTGAGGGAATCTCTGCTTAAATGCTTAAGAATGGAACTCATAAACTATTTGAAAATTTAACTTATGTGATCAATCAGTGTCTAAATGGACACCCAGTACCAGAACAATGGAGAACGGCATACATGTCCAACGGCATATCGGTAACCAGCACCCTGAGCAGACTGTATGGACGAATTTTGAGAAATATGATCGAGGAAGAATATAAGCACAATGAAGAGGAAGAACAAAGCGGGTTCCGTGCAGAAAGATCGTGTACCGATAACGTATTTTGTCTTAAACAAATAATAGAAAAAAGATCGGCTACGAATCTAGAAACTCATATTACTTTTGTAGACCTGCAAAAAGCATATGACAACATCCCCTTAACAAAATTGTGGACAACGTTGAAAAGATCTAACATCAACCATACATTGATAAATGCTGTACAAGAACTATATAGAGACTCAAAGGCACAGATAAAAACAGGAAAATATCTAACGGAAGAATTCCTGGTTACAAAAGGCTTGCGACAGGGATGCTGTATCTCACCAACCTTATTCAAGATATATGTTGCAGCAGCATTGGAAAGATGGAAATGCAAGGAATGTATATATACACTCCAGTTTGCTGATGACCAGGTAGTACTAGCGACCGACAGGGAAGACATGCAGTACATGCTTAGAAAACTGATAGAAGAATATAACTACTGGGGAATGAATGTCAATACAACAAAAACCAAATATCTTTGTATTGGAAACGAGTCAGATAACATAGACCTCGAAAACGGACAACATATTTCCTGCTGTCAGAGCTATGACTACTTGGGTGTTGCCTTTGACAATACAGGAACTGATACACGGTAAATAGAAAAACGAATCACACAAGTAAAGAAAGTCTTAGGATGTCTCAATAGTATACTATGGAGTAAAGAGATAACGAAAGGAAGAAAATTTAATATATATGAGACCATGATTAAAACTACTCTTCTTTATGGCGCTGAAACATGGAGAATTATTGAAAAGAACAAAAAGCGAATAGAAGCAGTAGAGATGGATGCAATGAGAAGATCTTTAGGTATTTCCAGACGAGACCGAATCAGAAATGATGTAATAAAACAACGTATGGGAATAGAAGGAAATATAACTCAAGATATAGAGAAGAAACAATTAAGGTGGTGTGGGCATGTTCAACGGATGCCAGCAACAAGACTCCCCAAAAAAGTAGTAGAATGGCAACCGATAGGTCAACGGAAAAGAGGAAGACCCAGATTAGAATGGCAACACGGCGTAAGCAAGTCTATGAGCAAAAGAAATTTAACAACAAACGACTGCGAAGATAGGAAGATATGGTGTTTAGGTATCGGACAACGTCGAAAGACGTTCTAAACCGATGTTTATATATAAATCATTTTATTTTCTGTTGAGTAACTGGCCTAAAAGCTTTGAAATAAGAAATTAATTGCCATATGATTCCAGTTCATGTTATTTTACAAAAGGGCACCCGTCCGATATTTTTAATGACTGCGTCAATAAACCATCATAAAAACTACGAGCAGGTTACTTACTCACAAATTTATTGATTTAAGTTATATGGCTCAGGTGTGGAAGCTTTAAGAACTCTAAAAAATTTAAACACATTTTTGTTTTCTTCAATTGTTTGTGATCTTCATTCAACGTTTTTTGAAGTATATACCAATTTTGGAAGCATATATTACATTCCAGTAAGGCACATAGAAGATATTTCGTTTTAGGTGGTTTCGTTTGGGTCCATTTAGGTTTTTTTTGCTTCAATGGGTCATCGAGTCTAAAAATTGACACCGTAGCTTTTAATATTTTAGATTTAAATATTTTTACAAACATAATTACCGAAAACGCCTACTTAATGATTACTTTGCAAGTACGCCACTGAATGAATGCGGAGCTTCCGATAATTTCGCCGATCTGAGAAGTCAGCACAATTGGCGATTTATGTGAGGGTTACTCCATTATTTGTGTAACATTGCACAGTAGGCGATTGTAAAAATGTATCACTAGTGCTCTCCCATTGACAAGTATTTTATAAGATTTTTTGGATTCATAAACTTTGTTAACATTATCGCCGCTTTTGAGTTTTTAGTGTCTTTAATTTTGACGCATACTTATAAAATAAACAGCCAACTAAAACTACTAAATATTAGCACCCGTTCTGACTGAGAATATCACGTTTACACACCGCAATTGTTGCTCTTGATACAGCCTAAGGTAAGCGTTTGAAAGTTGCCGCAGTTAGACGCAAACGTCAGCATTTGCTTTAGCTGATCTATTGTTTTTAAACACACCACGACACAGCAATTCTCTCCCTTCTCGGCACAGCTATGATTCGCGTTCGGTTTTTCCTTACAAGTCGCCAGTTGGTTCTGAGTCATGTTCAACAAGTTATTTAATTGTAATGAGGGAGTTGGGGTGGCGACTGTGAGGTTAGGTGTACTTTGATTACACGCTGATTTGTTATTGCAGCAGCTCGAAGTTGTGGTGGTTGGCACATTATTGTTCCAACTTGGTAATGAGATGGGAGTGGTATTGTTGCCATGAAGGGAAGTATCTTTTTGAACTCCTTCTTGAGTATTGGAAGATAAGTTGATATCTTGACTTAATCCCAGAGCAAAAAATGACGCCAAGTCGTTTACTGCTTCATTTTGTTTTTCGATGTCTATCGGAGTAGGGCTGTTCACTAGAGTCAACCAGTCTGACTGGCTGTCAGTGTTGGTCGGTAATATCTGGGACGTATTGAGCTGATTAAGTAAGTCTTCTGCGTTAGCTATACTACTATCTGCGTTCTCCAATGGCAATATTCTTTTGTGGGATATGACTTGAATTTTTGGGTCCCCTTTAGGATCAAACGAAGGTAAATCTGGTGACTTAATCTCTAAATTAGTCACTCCGGTGTTTTGGAACTCCGATATTATAGAGTTTCCTTCTAGTTCGTCTCTCGTATTAATCAACGTTTCATTTTTGCCATTTTCTACATTTTCAGTGCCGATATTGTACAGTAGTTGCAGAGGTATATTTTCGGTGGTGACTGTGGCATAATCCTTAAGTCGGTTGGCCATTTCGAACTCTTCTTCTATAACAGCGGCGTGTTTCTCAGGAATCACTTCACTGAAGACGTAGTTATTATTAAGTAAATTCTGTGGCGTAACATTAGTCATGTCGTAATAAACATTTTCGAATTGCATGTTCGGATCGTCTGGATTTCCTATGAGGGTAGTTTGTACCGTGGTAGGTGCTAAATTGTCTTGTTCCAGTCCAGAATAATCTAAAACAATACAAATCATGCATTACTTACAACATAAATATATTTTTTTAACATAACATAACAATATCTTTATTTTTAGAAAATAATATACATTCCGTGAACATAAAATTATTTAAAAAAAAACAGTGTCACAAACGAAAATATTATTTACTTCTCCCTAACCGTTACATATACAAATAGTCCTCCACAGAATATGGCTCAAGAGCTACCAGTAATTTAAATATTTGATATTTATACAAACTTAATCTTTCCTCCCTTTTAATAGGTTCAGGCAGTTTATTAAACAATTTGATGCAGCAATAAAGAGCGTTTTTTTCTGTTATACTTAACCTGTGTATTGGAATTTTATAATTATATAACCTGGTATTTACTATACTATTGGGCTCAAAGTTCCTAAAGAGTATTTTATTTTTATATAGAAACAGTAAGCATTCTTGAATAAATACAGCGTAAACTGTTAAAACATTATTACTCCTAAAATGCCCTCTACATGATTCCCTACTTTTTAAGTCAAACATAACTCTGATTATTTTTTTCTGAACCAGAAATACATTATTTATGTCCCTATTGTGGCCAAAATTTATTAGACCATATCTAAATTTTGCTTCAAAATTAGCATGATACACTGTTTTTAATGAGTTACTATTCATGTATTTTTTTAGAACCCTAAAGCTGTAAATCACTTTACTCAAAGACATACATAACTGGTCAACATGTTTATCCCAACATAAAAAACTGTCAATATATAATCCTAAAAATTTGGTACTGCTGCTAATATTTAAAGTGTCATTATTTACAATAATACTGTTTGGCATATCTGAATGTGCATAATTTGTCTTAAACAAAAGAAGATCTGTTTTATTTTGATTTAAAACCAACCTATTCATAGAAAACCAGTCTTTAGCTTTCTGGAACTCTAAACTAGCATTAACGCTTAGAACAGACATGTCTTTACCACTGACTAAAATGTTTGTATCATCTGCATAATTTGTTATGCTGGAAGTAGTATTAGCCACTAGACCATGAAGATCATTGATATAGATCACAAACAGTAAAGGACCAATCACACTTCCTTGTGGTACTCCAATATTGATAGTGCTTTCAGGTGAGATGCCTATTTCAGTGTTTTTATGTATTTTTACTAAATGTCTCCTATTTCCCAAGTAGGACTTAAACCAGTTCAATGCTGGTCCACGTATACCATATTTCTCCAATTTATCAAATAATATGTCATCCACTAAACAGTCATATGCCTTTGATAGGTCCAAAAAGAGACCCAAAGCCATATGACCAATCTCAGTACATTTCAAAATATCCCAGACAAACTGAAAAATCGCAGTCTGAGTTGATTTTCCCTGTTGATAACCATGCTGATTTGCACTAATAATATGAGATTTTGTTAAAAATTCTGTTATCCGCCTATACATAGTCATTTCTAAGATTTTTGAAAAGGAACATAGAAGGCTAATTGGTCTATAGTTATTAATTAATTTAGGATCACCCTTTTTGTAAACAGGTGTTACTATGGCAGTTTTCAGGCATTCAGGAAATACACCAGATTTAAGTGAATTATTTATGATTTTAGTGAGAGGATTCACTATCTCCTTTATACAAAGTTTAAGGATTTTAGTGGGTATTTCATCAATTCCACAACTCATTTTGTTTTTTAAATTTTTAGTTATATCCATAATTTCAGTTTCTGTCACAGGTGCGACAAACACTGAATTTATGTTACTTGTAATGTTGTCTTTATATTCAGTGTATTGTAATTGAGATAAAGTGTTATTTAAAGAAGTATTTAAGTGGATCATGTATTTATCAGCAATCTCTTGAGGACTACCCTCTACTTTTATTGAATTTACACTTTTTAATTGACCATTAATTTCACTAACAATTTGCCACATGCATTTATTTTTGTTGGCAGCTTCAGACATCCTGTTTTCATATAGCTTATTTGAAAATATGATGTGCTGCAAAATCCACGACATCTACTTATCTGTCTTCCGCATGAGAAACCTGCATGGAGCAGAAATGGTAAAGTGCAAGTGCAAGAATTGGGTGAAAATTAGTGTTATTTGAAAGGACTTTGCAAGTTTTTTCTATCCAACGCAGGCTTTTCAATGTTAGGTTGAGTTTACCGAAAGTACAAGCTGAATATAGCCGCAAATGTCAAAAATATTTGGGTTTGGCAGTGTTGGGACGTTTTTATAATGCATATATTATATGCTTCAAATCTAAATAGAGAAAGCTTTTAAAAAGTACATTTTGATTATACTATTTTATTAATGCTGCAATTTTTAATTTATATGAAGCAATATTGAGTGAATATTTGTCTCTTTCGAGATTAATTGCAAACATCTGTTGCAATCTGGCAATTGGTGATTTGACGATTGAGAAATCTATCCACTAATCTATCAAAGGGTAATTGCCAAAATAATTTCTAATAATTAACTGCAATTAATCTCCAAAGAAACAAATATTTACTCATTCTTGTTTTATTCGCTCCGTGCGTGACCATGGTAGAGGTACATTGAAACGACGCCAGCGTGCATAGCGGCGAAATATGACAAAATTGGAATATTGGACAAAATATTTTTACGCATAAATTTTATCAAAAATGTGTGCAAATACATGTTGCGTATTTAATTGTGCTAATAATAGCAAAAACAGTGAGTGTAGTTTTTATAGGTTCCCAAAGATTACATATAAATTAGAGAAAAGGAAAAGATAAATTCCTGCTATTAATATGAAAAAGTAAATATCACATAATTTCATTTTTACGCAATTGAAATAGGAAAAATTTAAATAATTTACCTTGAATGATATTTCATAAGCCTTCAAGCTAACTGCAGATGACTTTAGCTTTTATATCATAACTTTTACTATTATTGTTTTTAATTATATGCTCTTTTGCGTGAAAAACTTGATTTGTCAGTATTAGATTTTTCCCTTTCTCTTACGTTTGGAGTTGAAAAAGATATATTATGATGAATTTTGAGAAACCCAGTTTTTAATACTACATTTATTTTGTACATAAACTGAAAAAATATAGTTAAAAAACTAATTTATTAATAATTGTCAATTTCGCATGTATTTAACAATGTCAAACATATGTCATATGTTTAACCTGAAAATTGGGACTCCAAAATTGTCAGAAAAAGGCGGTAGGTGTCGTGTCAGTCACGCACGGAGCGAATATAAATCAAAAATTGCAGAATTTATAACATAATATAAACAAAATGTACTTTTCTAAAGCTTTATCTTTTTATAGTTGAAGCATATAGAATCTACATTATACTAACATCATAACACTGCTATACCGAAATTTTTTGTTCCATGTTTGACATTTGCGGCTATAATCAGCTTGTACTTTCGGTAAACTCAACCCAATGTTATAATTTAGCGATAAGGATCATCTACATTTATTAGATTATGTCAACAAGCAAAACTGCAGATATTTGGCATTAACAAACTAGAAGAAGTTACTTCAAAGACGTCACATAGTCCTAAATCGTAACTGTTTGGTGCCCCATGTCAGTCAAATGCATATTGACTCCATTTTTCTTTGAAACGCACAATGGTTATACAATCACGGTACATTTTAAACCATATAGAAACATGAATGACTTTTTTTATTCTATTACGGCAGTTACGTACATAGTTTCAGCATTATGGATCCATTGCCCCATACATTACACTACAAGGAATGCTTGTAGTGTAATTCACCTTGCAGTGGCATGGGATTTGGTTATCATTAATACGTTCCTTATGAAGACTGAAGACCAGTATGTTACCTATAATAGCAGAGGAAGGAAAACACAGATAGATTTTATGCTGTGTAGAAGAAGATAGCTAAAAGAAGTTACGAACTTTAAAGTGATAAAGGGTGAGTGTTTATCTATACTACGTTCCACGTTTAGAAAATAACATTGCGGAGATAGGCCATGTATTTCTTATGGACGATAGCAACGCGGCGTTGCCACGACACACACAAGCACAATTTAAGGTTGTATAATTTGTATTTTCGTTTCCACAAACATGAATTAAATTAATGTTTTTTAACGTAATTGACCAAAAGTGACCATTCGAAACAAGAGATGAAAACTAGGGAAAATGATTTTAATTAGATAAATAGTATTTACAAAAGATAATTTTTATTTTATCTTATTTTAATTATAGTAACGACAGTTTATTTGTTTTTCGGTGAGAATACGATATGCCATGAATCATAGAAATCAGTAGAAAATATTGACGGCTTGGAATGCGTATATCTAATTACTAATTGCAACTTAAAATAATACGATGTGCGTAAGTCAGCTATTTTATGTCGTTCTCTGACTACATAATGATAATAAGCTTTTATTTAGTAGTTATTCTGACTTTACAGTTAAATGTTAATTGAAAATGAAAATTCAAAAATTAAACAAAGGGAATATCTTGGACATCCGTGCAAAAGAGAGTGTCTGAGAGTTTTGGCAACACTGATATCCATAAGCGTAATGTTATTTTCTTAACTTGAAACAAAGAATAGTCAACACTGACCGGTGATAGTTGATACGGAGATAAAGGTGAGTCGGAAAGTAAAGCAAGTAGGACATCAGGAACGCTCTAGGAGAGGAAGGGGTTGACATTTTGTGACAAATGATGACTGGGATATATGAAGAGGAAAGGATGCCCAATGCATGGAAAGAGAGTGATGATATCGTTGTATAAAGATAAAGGGGACATTCAGAACTATGACAACTACAGAGGGATAAAGAAAATGTCGCACTCAATGAAAATTTGGGGGAGAACTGTAGAGTAAAAGTTATGGAGAAAGACAGTTTGAGTTTATGCCACGAAGGAGGACAACGGATGCCTTGTTTGCGATGAGACAGTTGATACAGAAATACAGCGAGAAGAAAAGAGAGCTACATTTGATAATTATAGATCTTGAGAAAGCGTACGCCACAGTTCTTAGACAAAAGTGTAATGTAAACATAGCAAGAAAATAAAGAAAA